AATTTGTGCATATTTTTAAAAAATTAGCAATGAAGCAAAAACAGAATGTGAGAGAGCTCTTAATTTATTAGTTTTGCTCTTGAAAGACTTGAAAATTGGGGTAGTTAGTAGACTACAAACTTATATGAATCAGCTGGCGGTGTGTCTGACTTTATATGCAAGATCACAGAAAGTGACATATTTATTCTTTAAAACTTTATGGAGGATTGTACTCAACTTTATGATGAATATTTTATTAGGAGGATAGGCAGTATGAAAAGAACAAAAGAGAATAGTTGGGATAGCAAGAAGCTGAAGAAGAGTTGGTGTCTGAAAAGCCCTTGCTGAGAAGACTTATTTCAGTTGTGTTCCCAAGTTGTGACCAGGAAAAGACATATGGAAGCAGATTTAACTCACTAGAAGGAAGAACTTTCTAACACACACACATAGAGCAGTGAGTGGCATGCTGACTTGACTGTGTCACCCTCTTTAAAAATCACTGGATGGTTTCCCAGTGCTCTTAGGATAAAGTCCAAGTTCCTTAGCAAAGTTCACAAGGCCCTTTGTGGCCTGTCCATCCAGTGGTGTCCAGCCCCAGCTTACACACGCTCCCCGCTCCCCCCCCACACAGCTGCCTGCGGCCACTCTGACCTTTCAGCCCCGGGGGCTCACGGTCTTGCACATGCAGGTCCTTTCTGCTGGGATGGTCTTCCTTCTTTTCTGCACCAAAACAACTACTATTCATCCTTCAGATCTCAGCTATTCCATCTTCATGGAATCCTTCCTACCTCCTGGGAGAGGTCATTTTGCTCTCTGTGCTCTTTTTCATTAGCTCTTGTCAGAATGACTTGACTTTTCTTGTTTGAACTTTTAATCAATTAATGTTTGTCTTCCCTAATTGGTGAATGCAATGAGAAGAGGAAATGTTTACTCATAATATTCCACAGTGTAGCACAGTGCCCAGCAAAGATCTGCTCAACACAGATCAACTGAAGGAGGAAGGAAAGAAAGAAAGGGAGGAAAAAGAGGAAGAGATTCCCTGAAACTGGAAAGGTCTGTGCAGGAGATGTGAAGGGCCATCTTTCAGAAAAATGATTGAACATATTCCTGCACGCAGTGGGAAGACTGAACCAGATAAAGCAACTCATTAAATATTTGCTAGCACATACTGTGTTCCAGGTGCAGGGGACACAGTATTCAATCTGTCCCTGCACTGACGCATAAGGTAGCTTGCAATTCAAGAGCTGGTGACTAAGTAGAACAAATCCAATAATACTGTAAGAGAGAAACAGCAAGTAGAAATGAAAATGTTTGGTATTCTGGGCCAGGTTTCCATCCCAAACTACAGTCATGCCTAATTTCATTAAATACATATTACTGGTTTTGAATATTGGGATTACTCACTTTCGGTGAGCCATCGCTATAATTAACAGAGAATGGGAGAGGGAGAATTAAGTTAGTATCCTGTGGAAAGCAGCTGCAAGAACTAAAGGAACCATTCCAGTGATTCAGACTAACAGTTCTTAGTAATCATCAAGTACACAATTAAACAAAGCCCAAATGAGTTTGTTTCTACTGAGTCCTTACAAAGAGTTCGAACACGTAAAGACAGAATGAGAAAAGTTCAAGTTTCCCTTTTCCAAGATGTCACCAGCAGTAAAGGCCTCTCTTTAGAATTCATTGCCTTAAAAACTTTAACTTAAACCATGTGCTTCTGATAAAAGCATGAAGACAAATTGCAGCTCTTCAGTCAAGAGAGGGAAGCATAATGGATCACAAGGGAATAGAAAGAAGGATCACGAAGATATATGCCAGAGTTGATTCGGGATTAGAGAATAAGTAGAAAAGCTCTGCCAATCTTTCTCTATTTAATTTATTTTATTCTTAACTTGCTGGTCCACTCAGAGTTGTTTGGAAGATTCACTGATAGTGACTGAATATGCATCTGTTCTCCCTACCTATGGCACATGCTGCCAGCAACGATCACATGACGAAGCAGTGCTATTCATGTTTCAGATGAGAAAACAAATGCAAGGAGATTTTCCCAAAGGTAAATCCAAGTTCAATGAAAACCAAATCAAATTAAATCATATTGTGAACACAGAATAAAAGTAAAACACAAATAAACACTTTGAATTAGGTACAAAATTTAGGTCTGTAAGATTAAAATTAAAGCATGCTGCAAAACATTAAAAATGAGTGATTCTAGGTAAAGATATATGGAAATTCATTATGCTAGAATGGCAAAGTTATGCTTTAAGTTATTTTCAAAAAAAATATTAAAAAATTGACAAGGAGCCATTTTTTCTTCTTTAACAAAGTTCAGGGGAGACCCTGACATTTTACACAATGGACCAATGTTTCTCTTGTTTTGCATCCTTCTAAAATAAAAACCTAAGTCATTGTTTGATGTAAGCTTTCTAGGGGTGTGGGGTATAGATCTCAGGAAGCAGAAGTAAGGGGAGCAGCACACAGAAGAAGAAAAAGGCAACACTAGAAGGCATCAACAGTAGACTTTTCATTGTAGGCACCTGAGACTCCTGCTGGGGGCCTGTGGTCACCAGCCTCCAAGATGGCCTCCCACTATCCCTCCTTCCTGTACTTACACCTGTGAGCGTTGTCCTTCCCCAATCTACCAGGCTTGGTCTGTGTGAACAGTAGCAGTAGGCAGGTCATAAAGACTATGGCTTCCACTTGGGTCAGAGGCCCTTTCAGATCAGCCCCGTTAGTGGAAGTCACATGACAAAGAATTCACGTGATAAGCAGGTCCACTTGGTGTTTACAGCACTTTTTTTTTTTTTTAAGATTTATTTATTTATTTGTGCAGAACTGGGGTACAGGCCAGAGGTATGGTGCGTGAAAGGCTTCACCAGAGACAGAGTGGGGAGCAGAACAGGCCGACTAACGAAGTACACTGCTGAGGGGAGCAGCGGGCGGGTCAGGAGAGGTCTGCTGCGCCATGTGGGTCACCTCCGGGGCAGGCGGAAGTGTCTTTAGCTTCTTAGTGCTGTGCTTTAACTCGCTGCGCCACAGCACCATATTTAATTTTGCCTGGACAAGAGACATGAAGGCTCTCCTTAGGGGCTTTTATCTTTCATGGTGCTAGTCTTGCAAAATCTGCAAAGTTCACCTCCCAGGAACATTAATTAACCTAGGCAGAACTGGATGTTTTAAGATTCTTTAAAAATGTACCTAAAATGGGCCTCCCTGGCAGCCTAGGGGTTCCACTGGGTTCAACCCCAGCCAGGGAGCTGACCCGCATATGGCACAGCAGACCCCTCCTTGACCCTCCTGCTGCTCCCCTCAGCAGTTTGTTTCAGTAGATCTGCCTGTTCTGCTCTCCATTCTGTCTCTGGTGGATTCTCTCACTCCTCCACAACTCTGGCTTACACCGCAGATCTTCTATGCAAAAAAAAGTAAAATGAAAATACAAAAATGCTCAAAGAAGAAAAATCTCACAACACACACACACAAATGCATTATTTAGATTACCACTGTTAAATCTTGTGCCATTCAGTATGCTATAACAATGATATACATTTTTTTAAATATTAGCTTTCTAGACTAACTTTATCATTAACAAATACATTAAGAACAATTTCCACTATGAACTGATACCACTTTTGTAACTAAGCATACACCTGCTATTCAAAGAAAAACAATAATACATCTAACCAGGCTTCAGTCATGCCCTGCAGCAAGAGGAGGCTGCCACAGGGGACTCTGGGCAAGCTCAGGTGTGGCATCAATTACTTAAGCAACACTAAATAAATCCATGCCCTGAGCTCTACAAAGGCATGTCCAAGTGTACACGGAAACAACTTTCCAATTGTTTTTCTATCTCCTTTTTTTTTTTTTAAGATTTATTTACTTATGCAAACAACTGGGGTACAGGCCAGAGGTGCAGGGGTGGTAAGAGGGTTCACCAGAGACAGGGCGGAGAGCAAAACAGGCCAACTGAGAAAGTACACTGCTGAGGGGAGCAGCGGGCGGGTCAGGAGAGGTCTGCCGCGCCATGTGGGTCACCTTCTGGGCTGGCAGGAATCGAACTCATGCTGCAGTGGCTTTAGCTTCTCAGTGCTGTGCTTTAACCCGCTGTGCCACCAGGGAGGGCCCTGGTTTTCTATCTCTTCAGTTAAGGTGAAAGTGAGCTGAGCAAGAGGGTCAGTTTCCTTTCCCCGGCGGTCTTGCCAGCAGTCTAGCCTTGAACTCATCCCACACCTGCTGCCAGATCAGATGCTCCCCGATGGCCTTCTCTGTAGGGTAGGTGCCCACCAGCTCTTCTGCAGTCTTTCTAAGTCCAGTGCTGGCTTGTGCTAGAAACAAGGTTTTGGGGATAAAAATGCATTCTGCTCCTTCACTAATCTAGAACAGAGAATAAACACAGGGATGTTTAGTTGTTTAATGCACAGAGGAAAAGGACTTCAGGGACAAAAGTGGAGTTGAAAGAGCTAATGCACGTCCCAACCCCCACTCAGGAGCCTAATCCTCATGGTGAACTGCGTGTATGAGGAGGGCTAATAGGCTTCCCAGGAAACTGTGAGCAGGATGAAAGTGTGAGTCATACGGGTCCATCTGGCCCTGTGAGCCCTCTTTGGTATACTTAAGGATTTTGCATTAAGACTATAAAAGGATTCTTTTGTTAAGAAAATATGAGCCCCAAATGGGAAAAGCCATATATAGCTTATCAAATAGGTGTTCATATAATTTTTAAGTAGCATGAAGTGTCGGTCAAATGTTACCTGTGTGTCTCTGTTCTGCTCCTAGCCCAAATCTTATCTTATTGGGTCATATTCTCTGCCTCTGACCTCTAACGTACACTTCTGTGTCCTAGAAGGGTCTCTATGTGCCAGGGAGAGAGCTGGGAACACAAGACCCATCCTTTTCTCACATCAGCCTCCATTCTCTTGTTGATTATTAAAAATTTGTCTTTCTTCTTAAGCTGTTATTGCTCCATGCAAATGTATAAGACATTGGGCACCCTCAAATACATTCTGTAGCGAGATAGGAGTGAATTGGAATCCTCTAATATTTTAGGCGGAAAAAAAGAGATACTTCTACCTACTCTTCTACCTACTCTTCTACCTAACTGCCTACTCTTGCAGGCAGAAACTGATCTGCGATTAAACATCTCTGCAGGCTAACTCTGTATGGGTTCTAGAGGGAACTATGGTTAAATGAGTTCCAAAACCACTTAGAATATGCTTTCAAAAATTTGAAAACTTCTGTGAATCTCAAAAAATCAGGGGAACAAAAAAGCCTGTCTTTTTAAGGTTTCAGTTAAAATAAGGTAAATCCATAATATATGAGACACAAAAAATGGGAGATGGAAAAAAAAAAGTATCTACTCTTGAAAAAAAAGTTTAGATTAAATAAAATTCCAAGTCAAGTTAAGTATGTTTAGGTTTTATATAAATTGTTCGAATAATCCTGAAATGGAAGTTTTCTACTCCCATGAGATCATCTTCCTCTTTGGATTTCTACATTGTGGAATGTGGCTACAATTTCTGTCTTGTCTGTGAGCTGCTGCGAGTTGGCCAAACAGCCTATTTTCTAAGAAAGAGTGAGAGGCCACTTTGGGACAACGATGTGCTCTTACCAGACACAAATGAAGATCACATGAGTTGTCCACTGTTTCTGCCAAGCCCTAAAATTGCAAAATCACATAAGTCACTAAAAATCAGAGGTATATCTTAATCAGTTAAATTAAACAAGAGAAAAGAAAAGGTCAAATCAGAAACATGAATTTTCTTTTTTAGTTAACTCTGCTATCGTAATGGAACTACACATGGTTCTCAAAATCAGCTGGAAAGAGCCACACCACTAATGAGACGTCACGTATCCAATGCAGATAATCTTTTTTTGTGAAGGTTAAAGAAATTCTCACTAATGGCAAAAATTAGTGATTACTATTTTGGGGGAACTTGAACTGGAACTTGTAGTACAGAATATTTTTGTTCTGACCTAAACTAATTCCCATTTGCTTAATAACCACCGTGCATGAGTCCTTCACTTCACACATAAAACTAAACACCTGAATTAAGGAGATCACCACCCAGTTTAGGGAGTGAGTATCCAGAAGCTAGTTGTCAAATAAGTAGGTAAGGAAACTGGGGAGGGAAAAACAGAACCTCTCGGGAGGGATGACACAGAGAGAGAGAGAGAGAGAGAAACAGTTTGGCTAGTTAATATAGCTATTGCTATTGCTGTGGTTTTAAGTATTTTGGCCACAGCGGGGACAGACCCTGGAGGCAGGTGGACTATGGGCACAGGGCAGTTGGTGGAGGCAATAATTAAAAGATAAATGAACCAACTGCCAACAATCTTTCAAAAATAATATTTCACCAGATACTGGAGCAGTGGGTGAGACAGGAGAAGTCTGCTGTGGCATGTGGGTCACCTCCCTGGCTGGGGATGGAACTCCTGTTATAGCGGCTGTGGAGAGCTTCATAGTCCTGTGCTTTAACCCACTGTGCCACCAGGGAGTGCCCAGTTCAATTATTTTCAAATCATTTGATGTTGGGATATTTTCCATTTCTCAGTATTGCAAACAGTGCTACAATGAACAATCCAACAGATATTTCAAACTGTCACAAGAATTCTGAATAAATACCCTTAAATATAAGAAAATAATAAAAATAAAATATTTTGGTCTTTTCAACAATTTATAATTATTTTGAAAATATTTTGCTGACCAACTTTAGGTCCTAACTAAGGAAAAATTGTACAATAATTTTTTTTCCAGGTAAGGTACATAATTTTCTGGGACATGTATCGAAATTTATTCAATGTTAAAAAACTATACTAACTGTGCTACTGATGGACTTTGTTTTATTTATATTTATCATTCCAGCTTGTTTCCATATTCCTATTTTTTTTATCTCTTCATTGGAAAATACTGCTATAAGAGTAGGAGTTTTAGAAACAGACAGAATTTGCTATTACTCTTGTTTGCACAGTTTACTACCTAAGGAACTTGGAGCCAAATCCTGAAACCAAGCTTTGTTTTTGTTTTGTTTTGTTTTTCAATGTTTAAAATGGGGATAATATTAAACAGAGGATAGCTGTGAGTATCAAATAAAACACACACTAATGCAGTGTCCTTGTTTGGTACTCAGTACATGAATGATTCTTCCTGTGGTGCGACTTCACAGATATCTTCAATCTAAAAATCAATACTAGTTTAGTTGATGAAGGGAATACACAAATATTTAGTTGAAAGTGGTGCTTCAGACCCCTCCCTGGTGGCGCAAGGGGTTAAGATCCAGCACTCTGAAGCTCTCCACAGCCACAGCAGTATGAGTTCAATCCCCAACCAGAGAGGTGACCCACACAAAACAGCAGATCTCTCCTGTCATGCACACTACTCCCCTCAGCAGTATATTTCGGTAGATCTGTTTTACTCCCCACTCTGCCTCTGATGAATCCTCTCACCCCTCAGGCTTATACCCCAGCACTTATATGCATAAATAAATACATCTTTTTTAAAAAATGAAAATGGTGCTTTAATTACATATGTGCAAACCAAAAATTAAATACAGTATAAATTAGATTTCTAGAAGCAACTAGCTCTGAGAAGACTGTAATTTAATCTTAAGCGTCATTCTTCCAGAGCTCATCAAGAATGGAGGTCACTGAGCTTTGCTGATTCTTCTCTTGGGTCCCTTCCATGAAGCCCAATGTGATGACAACATGCAAAGGCCACAATGAGTCCTTTGGAAACCACTGACAGTCACAGGAGCAGACATTTCTTCTTTTGAGCCATATCATGATGATATTCCATAAAAGTTAGGGGAAAGTATTTTATAAACATGCATGCCTATTGAAAATAATTAGCAACCAGGAAAATTTTGTTTAGAATATGGGAGAAAATGACTAAGATGAATGAGATGTGATTTTTGCCTTCAAGAAATCCTCATTCTGTTTTAGAAAACAACATCTGTTCTTTGAATTGATCTAATTGCATTCTGAGAAATACAAGGGTCTCTTTTTTTCTTTTAGAAACTGAATTTAGTAAGAAGGAATTGACGGCCCTCCCTGGTGGCGCAGCGGGTTAAAGCACAGCACTAAGAAGCTTAAGCCACTTCCGCATGAGTTCGATTCCCGCCTGCCCTGGAGGTGACCACATGGCGTGGCAGACCTCTCCTGACCCGCCCGCTGCTCCCCTCAGCAGTGTACTTCATCGATCTACCTATTCTGTTCCCTACGCTGTCTCTGGTGAAGCCTCTCGCCGCCCCTGAGCCTCTGGCCTGTACCCCAGTTCTGTATGCACAAATAAATAAATCTTAAAAAAAAAAAAAAAAAAAGAAGGAATTGACATGCTTTGCCTACCTCATATGTGCCAGGCACTGGGTGTATATTATCTCACTTAACCCTCATCGTAATGCTATCCATTGGATTTAATTCTTCTCAGTTTGTAAGTGAAGGAATCAAGCTTTGTGAAGTGACTTGGATGAGGTCATTTAAACAGGGAGTGACCTTATGTTCACTGCAGCAATATTTGCAACACCTAAGATAAGGAAACAACCTACATGCCCCCAAACAGATGAATGGATCAAGAAGATATGGTACATAAACACAATGGAATACCACTCAGCAATCAAAAAAATAAAGATGGGCCACTTTCAGCAACACAGATGGAGCTGGTGGGGATTATGCTCAGTGAAATAAGTCAGAAGGAAAAGGAAAAACAGCAGATGGTTTCAGTTATAGAAGGAATATAGGAAAACTGAGGAAGGAGTCAGAAAGACAAAATCAGCAGGCAAATGGGAGATCTGAGACACACGGCAGGAGAAGGGGAGCGAGGGCATCAACACAGGGAAGGAAACAGCACAGAGGCCCATGGTGACAGTTCACGGGTGAAGAGGTGGTGGGAGTTTCATGGGGATTACACCTGAGAGGAGAGATCAAACACTGTACAAAAGTGAAAAAAGATGTAAGGGGAAAAAACAAAGCCACATGGTTAAAAAATGTAAATAGGGGCCCTCCCTGATGGTGCAGTGGGTTAAAGCACAGCACTAAGAAGCTGAAGCCACTTCAGCATGAGTTTGATCCCCACCCTGGAGGTGACACATGGCCCGGCAGACCTCTCCTGACTCGCCCGCTGCTCCCCTCAGCAGTGGGGAGCACTGACTTCATCAGTCGGCCTGTTCTGCTCCCCACTCTGTTTCTGGTGAATCCTCTTACCGCCCCTGCACCTCTGGACTATACCCCAGTTCTGTATGCACAAATAAATAAATCTTTAAAAAAAAAAAAAAAGTAGGCCCTCCCTGGTGGCGCAGTGGGTTAAAGCATTGCACTAAGAAGCTTAAGCCACTTCCGCATGAGTTCGATCCCCGCCTGCCCTGGAGGAGACCACATGGCGTGGCAGACCTCTCCTGGCCCGTCCGCTGCTCCCCTCAGCAGTGTACTTCACGATCTGCCTGTTCTGCTCCCCACTCTGTCCCTGGTGAATCCTCTCACCCTCCGCATCTCTGGCCTTGTATCCCAGTTCTGTATGAATAAATAAACAAATCTTTAAAAAAAAAAAAAGTAAATAGAGAGTGATATAACTGGCCAACACAAGCCGATGTCTCTGGCTCTGTGCACTTTCATTATCACTGGGAGGCAGTAGGGAAAATGTGAGGGAAAAAAATCATTGTAAGATATAATTTGAAGGAAGAATTTGTAAATATTTGTAATTCCCTGGATATTGATGATATTAATCTGAAGATTTTATTACTAAAACTACATGGAAACTTGAGTTATTTTAATGGAAGCCGTTCATAATGAGAAAGGCAGGAACATCAGGAAATAGAAACCCAATTAAAAAAGTTGAAGGAATCAATGAGTTTTATCCATTTATTAAAAAAATCATGAATTTGAACAAAAAAATAAATATATTAGTATCCCATTATGCAGTGTGTTTTTTTTTAATATAATTTTTTTTTCAAGATTTATTTGTGCATACAAAACTGGGGTACAGGCCAGAGGCTCAGGGGTGGTGAGAGGCTTCACCAGAGACAGAGTGGGGAGCAGAACAGGCAGATCGAAGAAGTACACTGCTGAGGGGAGCAGCGGGCGGGCCAGGAGAGGTCTGCCACGCCATGTGGTCACCTCTGGGGCAGGCAGGAATAGAACTCATGTGGAAGTGGCTTTAGCTTCTCAGTACTGTGCTTTAACCTGCTGCGCCACCAGGGAGGGCCTATGCAGTGTTTTTAATGTTGGCATTTTAAATAGAAGGCAACAGTGATTTTAAAAATGTTAAGTAGAAGACCTGGATTTAACATTTAGTCCCCAAGTTAATGTGTTTTGATCCTGAGCAGTTTCTTATATCATTTTTAATCTTGCAGAAACATAAATATTTATCTTATCACCTCTAGCCATCAACTCATAGACCCACCCATTCATTTACTTAACTGTTCATTCAACATTTACTAAGTGCCAGTCACTGATGACAGATGAGACTTACACTACACTCAGACTTTACCCTCAAGATGTCCACAGTCTCAAAAGACATGAGCAATGTAGTAAAATGAAGTGAGTTCTAGAGGGAAAACTCGTCCTGATCACAGCACTCAGAAAGGAGAGGTCACTTGTAATTGGTGAGAATTTGACTAGAAGGACAGTTCACTGATACCATGGGAGAGACGGGGCAGACACTATGAAAAAGTGACACCTGAGTCTTGGTAAAAAATGAGAAATATTTCTCAGTGAATCTGGGGTATGATTTGGAAAGGGTATTCCAAGCAGAAGGATGCACATAAATAAGTACTTGGAGGTATGCTTTGCTATAGCCAGGAAAGTACTTGTAGGTTGATTTGACTGAAATGATGGGTAGGAGAAAAATGCAACTAGGGAGACTGATTTGCCATGTTGAAGAGGTTTGATTTTATTGTATAGGCATAAAAAATCACCAAGAGTCTTTAAGTTACAGTGAAATGATCAGATTTGCATTTGAGAAGGACTACAGTGATAGAATGAAGAATCAGTATAAGAATACTACCAAAAATCTTAAAGACCCACTGTCAGCTACAGAGCAGTATGTTATTATGTTTGTTTTTATTCTTAGTTTAATATAAATCATGATTTTCTACATTATATACCAATTCAGTATGACTATGCTTATTTCAACAATTAACATGAAACAAAACATTTTAAGATCAGAAATGAACTGGAATCACAAATTAGGAAAACTCACAAAAATGTCACCTTGTTCCAGAACTCTTATCTCAACAAAACATGTTGCTTGTGAAGGCTCCTAAAAAGAATAAATTAAAATAGTGATGATCTTTGAAATTAATCAGCATCAGTGCAAATGTAGAGAAATCGGAATCCTTTTGAAATGTTGATGGGAACCTAAAATGGTGCAGCTGCTATGGTAAGTAGTATAGTGGTTACTCAAAACATAAAAACTTGATTTACCATGTGATCCAGCAATTTATTTCTGGGTATATATCCAAGATATTTGAAAGTTGGGCCATAGAGATATTTGTTCACCTACGATCACAGCAGCATTATTCACAATAGTGCAAAGATAGAAGAAATTGAAATGTCTACGTCCAGGTCCAGAGTCTCCTAACCTTAAAAGATCAGACTGGGACATATATGTATATATATATATATATATATATATAATAGTTTATTTTTACATCATTTTGTACATTTTTTTTTTCATCTCAATTGTAATCCCTGCAGGTTTCCCATCACCAAGTCACCTGTGTGCCATCACCATAATCTGGTGCACCTCCCTCCCCACCCCCGTTTTTGATCCCATTCCCCACTCCACCCCCACAAAATGTCTCTGGTATATGACTGTTCATTATTCTTATTATTTTCTCGCTTGGTCCATTATACTCCTGCTTTGAGCGAAACCATCCGGTATTTTTCTTTCTCTTTCTGGCTTATCTCACTAAGCATGATCTTTCCAGCTCCATCCAAGTTGCTGCAAAAGACAAGTGTTTCTTTTTTTTTGGTTGCTGAGTAATATTCCATTGTATATATGTACCACATCTTTTTAATCCAAAGACTGGGACATATTATTATGTCAGAATGGAAGGACTTCTGGATAACCTTAAAGGTAAAAGAACCAGCACAAAGAAGCTAAAATGCTTTTATAAATAAATAAATAAATAGCTATAATTAAGCACCAAATAAATGATGATTGCAATAAAATGACACAGTTTCAGAGAACTGAGGTCAGGTAAACTGAATTGCAAAGGCTAACAAGCCCTTCCAAAGAGAGGTGAGCTGAACGAGTATAGGAAAGTGGCAGCTGCCCAAAGGCAGGTAAAAAAAAACAAAAACCCAAAAACAAGAGCTGACATGTAGGAGAATTCTTAAAAATTGAGTATGGGTTAGTGTAACATTTTAGAATCTCTAGGAGTTCTACACACAAAAGGAGTCTGAATTTCCTCATCAGCTGATACCCATATGCATTCATAGCAGGGGACTGGAGTCAGCGTGGGAGAACTGAGGGAACCCCTTACCCCCCAAAGTAATGAATCAGTATGAAAACCACCTGCTTCAGAGTCTTGTCTCATAAAACCATACACTTTTTTTTTTTACATAATTCTTCATTTTGTGCATTTTTTCATCTCAAGTGTAATCCCCGCGGGCTTCCCCACCACCCATGTGCCATCACCACAGTCCAGCGCACTCTTCCCATCCCAGTTCTGATCCCATTCTCCCTTCCATCCCCATAAATTGTCCCTGGTTTATAGCTCAAAACCATATATTTTCAAAGAAAGAAAAGGAACACCTTCACCTCATGGCCTCTTCAAAGACCCGCTGCCACAGATGAGGAGTAGGAAATCCTCCAATCTCCCCCAACCCAGGAGAAGACCCTCTTTCACTGAGAGTAGAAATTAAAACTATCTGTAAAGGAAGAAAATCTACTCAGGTCCAGGACCCTGCACAAACACAGAAGAGAAGTGTAACTCCTGGAGGAAAGCTGAGAAACTTGTTCCCATCAGGGATCCCCCACTAACAGAAAGCAAAGCTCATTGCCATGACAGGGGAAGGAGAGGCTGGGACAGTCTTAGCACAGGACTTATCTAGTGGAAACAGATTCAGAGAAGTCAGAGAACCCTCCACCCCTCACATAATTGCCTAATTGCTGCATCCAGTTAACAAGCAGTAACAATGTACCACTGGCTGGGGAAAGGAGGCCAGAGCACTAATAAAAGATGTCTTGGCAACACAAGGATGCAGGACCCACTAATAAGAGTTAGAAAAACTCTTATCCACTACAGTTTCACTCTAAGAACAGGTATCAGTAGTCTCCAAAGAGGGAAACCTGGTTTGTATGATAAATACAGTAACAATAAACCTAGTTCAAACTACTCACTAAACTGACAGAACAAGGAATGCGTCCCTATCCAGGTGTAATATAACTAACTTTCACGTAGTTCCTATTGTTCTACAAATTTCAGGTGTTTGATTTTAAAGTTATGAGACACAGAAAGCTGCATTACTAGACTGGCTTATTGTTTTAATTAGTCTTTCCTAGAGTTTTTTGGGTTCTCTATGTATATTATAATATCGTCTGGGTGACTTGGTGGCAGGAATTTTATGGGGCTTACAACTGAGAGGAGAAATCAAATGTACACAAATGAACAATGATATAATAAAAAATTATATAGAGATATATGAATTGAATTGGGTAAAGAAATTTAAATACGACCTTTGTGTTCTTTCAAGATTGTTTTGGCTAGTCTCTTTTCTTTGAATTTCAAAAGGAGATGTGGAACACAACTTAGCAAAGCACTTCTGAAAGGATAGTCTCATCACTTCAAACCTGAAAGGGCTTCAAAAAACACCATTATCTGTAACAATAATTTCAAAGTAGTTTTTGCTTATGAACTTATGAATGAGAAGACATGTTTTTTCCTCCAGAAAGCTCTTTATCTTCACTGCCTGTCCAAACTTTTGTGCTCACTAAGATTTAGCTTACATTCTGTCTAACCACACCAGGTCATATTACCACCTATCTCTAAAACACTACCTACCTACCATTTATATAAACAGTGGTGTGCTTATTGACTGTGGTTTTATTTGTGGCAGCAAAACTGTAAACTCGTCAAGGTAGAGACAATGTCACAATT